TCAAACTACCATTACCCCACTGTATGTCATATTCGACCACCTTCACAATACTCATCTCACCTTTTCTGTGTGTCTACTTGTCTCTTTTACATCTGTGGATCACTCTTCTGTTTCTCCTCTCGACATTTGTGTCACTTTGATGTTCCTTCTCCCCTTTGTGTAGGCCGAAGTCAGCTAAAGGGCTAATGATAGCTGTCAAACCGCCTGTCATTTGAAATAAATATTCACATTAATATCTTAGAGATTATTTGCTCTGAGAACACCAGGATTCAAGCAAATTTGTGCTTTCAATATCTTATAGAAACAACTTCTAGGCATTAAAAGTGATAGGTAGGACAATTTATAAGTAATTAGTGTTTTCGAACATAGACTTTATAACACTTAATTAAGCATTCAAGACTCTTTTGAGGTTCCCTCAAAACGAGATACACACTTCACTAATCTTGAAAATCGTGCATGTATGCATAGATCGATTTCGCACTTTTTAATTGTGGAAAGTAAGATCAATTACAACTTTATGTGTAAAGAATAACTATCAAAACCCGCCAATTGAGAGGAAGGAAAAGGTGAATATTTCCGGCCACATTGCTCTGCACATACTCAAATATGTAATTCAATTAAGAAAAATATCAAGCGGTATGTAGACATTCGGATTTTCAAGAACTTGCCAACTTATCAGGATACTATTGAGTTAGAAAAATGCTTGTCCTTAGAAGTTATTGATTAAAAGAGAAGTAACGTCAGTAAATAAAATGAACAAGCCAAGTGCCACAGATTCCACAATGAAATCCATAGAATTTCATGAAACTACGGAAAATGCAGGGACGGAGTTCAAATTTAAGACAAAACTTCGTGTGGCACGTGCGCTTATCAAGTTCCTCCGTGTGGCTTAAAGGGATTACTTCCCAATCGCACTGTATGTGTGATAAAGCACCGAGAAATTCTAATTCTACGTCAGCTAATATTGATAGACTAATGAGAAAACTAACGAAATGGGAAAAAGCAATATTACGACTCAGTCACCTGTTATCACAAATTCATTTAATACATAATTCTAAGCTATGTTAAGAAATAAAGAGCATTGCCAACCACAAGAAAAACTCATATTACAAAGACCAAGATCTATCAACCACTCTCTACGGCACTGTAAACTTTGTAAGCCTAGCACCTTCATGTCCAATTCGTACCTTTGACACGATAGGATAGTCTAACCAAAGAATCGAATCATGTTATTACAAAACATTAAATAATCCAACTCTTACCGAACTAAATGGCCATAATTTATTTAAAAGAATATAACTCACCAATGAAGGGATTATTGTCCATATCATAACCATCATCCATGAGGTACCAATTCCTGTCTAGTTTCTCCGCTTCGGCCTCCAACTCTTTCTCATCCACAGGGATGAAGGGTGTACGTGATTCACTAGCTGCCGGCGTCGGCGCCACAGTTCGTCTATCATGCCGATTATCCTCATTCTTCATCCAGGGGTTCTGCATATAGGAGGGAGTGGCCAGTGGGGTGTAGTCATATCGGAACCTTTTGGTACCTTCTCTTTCCCAGGGCGTTTTCGGTCGAGAACTGCGCGAGGTAGAGGGTGTGTCGTTAGGTAACAGATGGCGTGGGGTCTCTATATAGCGAGATGCAGAAGTATTACCGCGGTCTATACTAGATGACATTGGAGTCTCGGCCTCCCAATCACGTTCACGACGCTTGCGCGCACTCTCTTCCGCCTCAGTGCTGCGACTAAAGCTTCTAGAAGAGCCGCTTCCATGGTGACGACTTCGATTCTGGCCGTCATCATCCTTACGACTGTGACCATCTAGAGAAAAATACGATGAGAAAAATACTGCTAAAGCTACTTGGCTTCGCGAACAGACTTTATCAATGACAAGATAGGTTCCGATAAGAATAGGATTTTCCGAAAAATTAATCAGAACCACAATGTACAATTTATTTACCATTAACCATGGTAAAAATCAAGGATGCCCAAAATATTATTGGAAATCCGAATTAAAAGTTATGGAACTTCAAGATATTAATATAGAAGATAGGGGG